GAGTATATAATAACGTTAAGAAAAAGCATCATGGAGGTTGGCAGAGATCATTAAAGTGTACTCCAATGCATCAGATGACTGTTCCTGTGATTATGAGCACAAATTGCAGGTCATTATCGAACAAGATTAACTACTTGCATTCTCTATTATACTCAAATGTATATTGTAATACTGGTGTAATCACTCTTCAAGAGACTTGGCTCCATGATTCATATGACGACAATTTAGTCTCCTTAAGTGGGTTCACAATCTACAGACAAGACCGATGCAGCTCGAAGAAGAAGAGAGGTGGTGGTGTTGCCACTTTTATTAATTCTCAGTGGTCTACTGCCAACAACGTCTGCTTCAAATTCTCAAATGACAATATTGACTGTATAACTGTAAAATGTCGACCTAAACACTTACCTAAGTATAGCTCCATTTTTGTCACAAATATCTATATCACACCTTGTTGCAGTCCCTCAGAACTATCTATCTTCGCTGATGAATTCACTATTTTTGCTGCTGCTTCGTTTGGTAACTCCTTATCTATAGTGACCGGCGACTTCAACTCCAGCGACTGCAGTTTTATTACATTGCTGGGCCATGCAAATGTTGTTAATTTCCCAACTCGACAAAATACTTCACTTGATTTAGTATTTGTAAATGATTCTGGAATATACGAAGCTCGTAAAAGAGCCCCACTCTTCAATTCTGATCATTGTATTGTACGAGTCTTACCCAAAATTTACGGAAAGTTACACAGTAAAGCCCTCTCAAACTTGTCTAAGAAAGTTGTTCACAGATGCTACTCAAATGAGAACGTACATCATCTTAGAAACATGCTCAGTGACACAAGATGGGATTTGTTTAATGATGATTCACTTAATGACAATATCTCTAATATTACATCCTATCTGAAATTCTGTTTTGAAATCTGTTGTCCAAAAGAAACACTATTCGTCAAATTTGACCGTTTCTCCTCGCCTCAACTTAAAAAGCTTCGTAGAGAGAAGGAAAAACTATATAAAATCAAAGATAAAATTGGTGTAAAAAGAACTAACTTCTTAATTAAGTCTGAAATGCAGAGGTTGAATGTAATATATAACCAGAAATTCATGTCCTGCAAAAATCCTTCTAATATGTGGAAACTATTTAAGGAAATCACTGGTGGTAAGCAGATAAACAATATTCCATATTCTTTTGATGTATGTACTCTTAACAAATCTTTTATTTACTCTCCCTCAAATGCCATGCTTCCCAGCATCACTTGTGTTAATAATAGCCCCTTTCCAGGTTTTAACACAAATGATGTTCAAAAGTGCCTCAAGTCTCTAAACCCTTCCCAGAGCTTAGGTCCCGATTATGTACCTAGTATTATTTTTAAAAAATGTTCTGATATTCTGTGTCACCCTCTTACTGATCTATTTAACAAATCTTTTTCCGATAATATTGTGCCTGCCGTTTGGAAGGACATTAAAGTTGTACCCATACCTAAATCTTCTACTGGAGCATGTGTCAAATTTAGACCCATTGCTATTACGTCTCCTTTTTTGAAAACTATGGAGAAATTACTTTTACTTAGTCTTGAACCTTCGCTTAAATCCTTTAATGACCCTAAACAATTTGCCTATAAGCACAGTAGAAGCACTTTAGATGCAGCTGCCGTCTTATATCATAACATTGCTTCCAGTCTAGACAAGGGGGCTAAATTTGTTCGTTGCGCCTTCCTAGACTATACATCTGCTTTCGACTCGGTCCCTAGGGACATCTTATTAAATAAACTTGCTGCTAGTCAAACAGAATGTTGGGCTGTTAACTGGTTGCATTCCTATTTCTCAGATAGAAAGCAGTACACCGTATATAAAGGGAAGTCCTCCACTTCATTGCCTACTGAAGCTGGTGTCCCTCAAGGTGCTGTTCTTTCTCCTTTTCTTTTTTCTTTCTTCTTGCACGACTTGCCTCACTCTGATGAAATAAACTTTGTGAAGTATGCTGATGATTTAACGGTTTCAATGGCTGTTAACTCCCAGCTAGATTGTACTAAAATAAATAGCTTTCTATCGGAAGTCAGCAAATGGTCTGAGTCTAACGGTCTTAAACTGAATCCTTCTAAGTGTCAAACTGTTGATTTCAGCTTAAGATGTAAACGACAGTTAAAAGAAGTCATCGATTCTCATGACACTTGTAAAATTGACGACAATGATATTGGAATCAAATCAGAAATTAAGTATCTTGGACTCATTCTCTCTTCTGATCTCTCCTGGTCTTCCCATGTCTTAGCAATCTCCAGTAAAATATTCCGCTTGACATTTTACATTAAGAAGTTAAGACACTCGGGTATAACTCAACCCCTCATCCTACAGTTCGTAAACTCTTGCATCCTACCTATTCTTCTTTATTGCTCACCCTTATTCTTTCCTGGTTTGCTTAAAAAAGACTATGTCACAATTCGTAGAATACTGAAGACTGTCAGTAGAGTGAGTGGTGTCCCAGTGGACCACATAGTTAACGTCGTTGTCGATAGGCATTTGACTTCGTGCAATAAATTTGCTAAAGGGATTTTGTCTGACTTGGAGCATCCGCTTTACCCTCAGCTTTCACCTTGCATCTCCTCAGGTAGAACAAGGAGTAACTTCAGAAAACTGTATGCTCGCACGTCTAAGTATAAGAATTCTATGATACCATACTTGGCACGTATTTTATGTGATGAAAATAGTGTCAGGCAAGAATTAACTAACCTTTTTCATCTAGTAAATAAACAATTTCCTCCATCCATCCTTACATACCTTCAAGTTTTACTTTTATTACTTCTATTATATTTATGGTCCTGTTAATTCTCTGTTTTACTCTCATAATTGCAAACACCAACTTATCTCCATGACGGCTGTAATCTTTGTTTTTTCCCTCACCATATCATGTAGAAAGAACATTATATTCAATATTTTTAAACATGTTAGGATTTCTATACCACATTGCCAATACTGTGTGACACAAACCCACAGCAATTTCCACTTGTATTATTATTATTATTACCCTAGCTGTTATTATTATTATTGCTATTTCCATTTTATATGCTGCATGTTTTTGACACTACCTCTATTGTAAATGTGGAAAATTTTCTGTGTGATTAATTTTATTTATAATTTGAGGAAATTAGATGCAATATTGTGATTAATGCTGAAAATTCCAATCTGTATCACAAGTACTGTTTTTGGAATAAAGTAAATCATTATTATTATAGCATCAGGCGTTACTTCTCATAGTCTAGGTGGACAATATCATCAGCAAACTGTAAGTTGATGAGACTATTTCCTGATAAGTCTCTAAAGCCAGTTACAGACTATCCTACTAATATATGTGTGATTGAATTGAACTGATGTAAGGATGACAGTTTAAGAATTCAGCCTTATGTTACATCCCACTCGGAAGTGTGTTTTCTCGGATAATTCGCAAACACTAATTACTGAATGGAAAACATTCTGTAGGCTTTGTGAAACTCATAAACTGACGCACTACTTTTGCAGGCAATATAGCGTTTCCTTAATAAAGCGAGGACTGGATATTTCGGCTTCATTAAACGAGTAAGCGGTATCCTGGCAGTACCAATGACTACAACAAGTCTGGGAATTATGCACTACAACTTTTACTTCACTGAATACTCCAGCAGATTTCAAATGAACACTTGACAAATATCAAATTTATAAAGCAAGTCAGTAAGATTTAGTAAACTAAAAGTACTTTCGGTTTCTGTAGGAGTTCTCGGTGCCGAATTTATTCCTTTAAGGGCCTACAGAGATTAAAACTTCAATTAAATAACACTGACGTTGGAGAAATTCCATTCTGTATTACTACATTAATGAAAAGAATAATCTTTTTTATTCTAAAAACAAGAGCATTCGTAATGTTCTACTTTATGTAAATGCAGTTACATAGAGTTGCACTAGGAACTCAGTGCAACTCGATGCACAATAGTATATATACAAATAAACTGAAAAATAATGTTCTCATTACCTTATGAACAATTTAAGGACAATTGTCCTTATTCCAGCATAGTAACTTCCTTTCACCTATGAGCCTGAGTTATGTCTATGGAATCGCAATATTACATCAGTTATATCTTCCCCAAAATCAAGGCCACTTGCAACCAATAGCAACATAGCAACAAGCGTCATTGAGGGGATATGCAATAAAGTCGCTCAAGTGTGTGGGTCAGTCGTAGGTACTGATTCCACAGCAGCTAGAGCAACAGCTGTTGTAATCTCTACACCAGCTGACAACCTTATCTACGCCTAGGCTTAAGTAACACCTTATGTTACTACCCAGAACTTAGCAGTATCTCGATTATGCCTTTTTTGACCCCTAACTCTGACCTGGTGGGTTCTATACATAAGCATTTCAATGCACTGTATTTTATCCTACCCGTTTCAGCTCCCTGATGAGTAGTAGTGCGTATCTTTCATTAGTATTTCCAGTCTTCCCTGAGTCTCCTCGCACAGAAGTAGGAATATTTTGTTGAAGAATTCATATAGCCAGTTAGTCTTCAGTAACAACACTAAAGTTTTCAGCATCGTACAATGCAAATGCATATTTGCTGTTCTCTCAAAACGAAGAGCTTCTTCTGAAAATATTTAAGGCGTGCATAGGCACTGTTGTTTTGAAGATTTCTAACTGCTCCAAGTCTTAAGTTAAATACACCAAAGTATGCGTGTCTGGACGGATTTTTTGAGCAAATACTCGAACTTGATGGCTGCATCACCATCTAAGTAGCAGGTAATTGAACACGATTGGTAATGTTGTATAGATATTTTAGCGTGAAATATGTGATGAAGAATGTAAGAACAATTAAACTTCTGAGACAGTTTGACATAACATGAGTTATGCAGCTGTAGTTCATGAATTTTTCCCAACTTTGTTTATGTGACGAAATTTGAACTTTCGCACCATTGACAAACTGAACCAGATAGCGGTTATTTGATTGTCAGCATTTTCAAATCTGGAGTACACGCTTCCCCTGCAACATGTCTGTGGACGTTGGGCTGTTGTCGGTTCTTGAGAAAAGTCTTTCACTAGGTGGGAATACGAAAATACATTAGCTAACAATTTTTAGAAAAGCACGAACTTGAGGCTGCCCAACACTTCCTTGAGGAAGCGGCTAAGGTAGACCTTTTTGGCCTGCTGAAGCAACTTAGTGATGTGTTGATCAACACGGAATGCTCTCCTCATGTACGTACACAGGCTGGCATACAGCTTAAAAATGCCCTGTATTCGAAAGATCCTAGTGTGAAAACATTGTACCAACAACGATGGCTGCAAGCTCCTTTGGAGACCAGACAGTATATCAAGAAAAATGTATGTTCTAACAAATATTTGCATATATTTTCACTTCTAGTGTCTAATGGCCTTAGGGACAGAAACTACAACACACAGTTCTGCTGCACAATGCGTGGCTTACATCGCATGTGCTGAAATCCCTGCACATCAATGGCCAGACTTGATGGGGAGATTGGTAGAAAATGTTATAACACCAAACAAAGTGGAGGCGTGTAAGCGTTCAACGCTAGAAGCCATAGGATACATATGTCAGGACATAGTAAGATTAAATTTTAAATATTATACCGAAAGGATCCATGTATATTAGCCAGTCAATCAAATGCTATCCTAACAGCTATAGTTTGCGGTATGAAAAAAGAAGAACCAAGGTATGTACATTTCAGGGGTGCTAATTTTGTTTTAGTGATGGTGTTCGTCTTGCAGCCACAAATGCGTTGCTGAATTCTCTGGAATTCACCAAACATAACTTCGATGTTGATGTAATTTTAATTTGTTATTAATTCATTTTTTCAAAACTAGAATGAACGAAATTACATAATGCAAGTTGTTTGTGAATCTACTCAGTCACCAAGCTCGCATATCCGTGTGGCAGCCCTCCAGTGCTTAGTGAAAATTATGTCGCTTTACTACACTTATATGGAACCCTATATGAAACAGGCGTTATTTGCTGTAAGTTTGTGTATTTGAACTTCGTAACTTCTGGGATGAAGCATTTTTGTTAGTAGCAAAGAAATGTAGTTCACTATAGGTAACTTAGCTAACTGTGTTGATAACAATTTATAGTTGATACTGATTACCACTGCTAAAAATCTTTTGATATCTGACGGCAGTGTAGCTTTTGGTTTGTTAGAAGTCAACACCGTTCCAGACCCTAATGGTGAGGACTTGTTCCACTGAGTAACATCCCTCCACAATAAGTTACCTGTTTCATGTATATTTTTCTTGTTAAATGTATCACATCAGTATAATAATATTGAAACTCCGTGCCTTGTTGATATAACTGTCATTGCGCTTGTGTTCACCATAATAGTTTGTTTGGAATGACTTTTTGAACCAACATGTGGTTCTTAGTAATTTATAAATTAACGTTTATTCTGAGTTGCTTCATAAATCTAGACTCTGGTTAAAGTATAAAGTGTATCTGTTGCAAGTTTTCCACAAGAGAGATAGTGTGTGCATTAAGCTAAGTCTCGCAGTATGTATGCAGAATTCAGCACATTCCATTAACACACATTCATAATCTACATTTTTTATGCAGATCACACTGGATGCCATGAAAGATTCAGTACCAGAAGTTGCCCTGCAAGGCATTGAATTTTGGTCTACAGTTTGTGATGAAGAAATCGATCTGGCTATTGATGTTGCTGAATGCTTTGATAAAGGTCAACCGCCAGCTGTGTCCAGTATGTTTTACGCCAAAGGAGCTTTGCAATTTATTGTGCCAATTTTGATGGAGATTCTTGCCCAACAAGATGAGTCCATGGATGATGATGAATGGAATCCAAGTAAAGCAGCCGGTGTATGTTTGATGCTGTTAGCACAATGTTGTGAAGATCCTATAGTTAATCTAGTCATTCCTTTTGTTAAAGAAAACATTAAAAAACCTGATTGGAGGTACAGGGATGCTGCCGTAATGAGCTTCGGTAGCATTCTTGAAGGTCCTGATCCTGCAGCTCTGAAGGTCAGTTTATTTTTCTCAGTTTTAACTATGCATGTATGTACACTGACGTGTAATACGGATATAGTGGCAAGATGAGAAATGCTACCTGTTCAAAAACAGAAATGTGACACCATTCGTCAACTAGTCTGAGTTGTGTCGTAGTGTACAACAGATATCTGAAATTCTTACCAAATACATTGCAGCTTTCAGTAGATTACCCAGGTCTTGAAGTTATCAGCTATAGGTCATATGTATTTATATATACTGTTCCTAGACTTAATTCCAAACATTTCTTTCGATTGTAGTCATTAGTTCTGATATTGGTTCCTTGTTTGTGCTTCTATTGACTTGGATTAATGAATTTTTGCTTAGCATCTGATATGATTGTCTCGATGTAAACTAACTGTCCAGTTTATGATTCTTGTTATGATCGCTAAAACGAGTATTACCTCGTTGAATAACTGGTCAACTGCAAGTTTGCAATACTTATCGATATCTGGCCCCACAAATTATCATAAATGTTTGCGTACATATAACGATTCTTTGTCACACTAACTTGTCGATTTAGTCACTTGACTGGCAGTGGTTCAGAATGCGGATTCTACCTTAATTATCGAGGTCTGGGCAACCAGACAGTATAACAAGCCTACCCCCCCCCCCAGAAAATATCGTAGTGCGAAGAACACAAGCTTAAGTTTAGTCACGGAAACATTTAGCTTATTCCTTATGTATAGCAAATTTAATTTAGCGGAAAAATCACACCTTTTATTGTATCCTGTGACAACAAACGATATCAGTTGGCTCTTCTGTGGAAAATGCATTCAAGGAAGCTACTTCCAACCTAACTGGTCATCACCGACGAACTGCAGCCCGGATGCAATTAAGGATGAGTTCTAATATCATATGAGTGTTTCTGAAGCATGCGCATTCAACAGATCGTATCGCTAGCTGGGGTCTTGAATGCCCACGTTGGACACCTAGTCTTAGTGAAGAATCATTTAGGTGGTCAGTGCGAAGTAGGGGGTTATAGGTCAGATAGTGGGGACCCTCTTCTACAGCTATGCTGAGATCATAGTCTATTTCTAGTCAGCACCAACTTCGGGTACACTACCTAGCGTCTTTTCCCTGTCACTCAAGTCTGGACTTTGATAAGTCATATTAGTCTCAGCCATAGATGGCGTGGGTTTCATTGTGGACTGTCACTCCTCATGGGCAATATGTTCGGATTCTGACCAGGCTTTAGTGTGCACCAGTTTTACCTTTAGATTTTATGGCAACTCTTTGGACTCATCAGGGAAACGGGTGGGAGAAGACAAATCATTAGTGAGACAATCTCGGAAAAAAATGGCACTATAATTAGCTCACAGGATAGACGACTGGATCGCTGGAAAAAGCATTATGAGGAGCAGTTTAATTTGCCCACAGACACGCTCAACCTTCCGAGCATCCAACACCTCCCTGAATGGGATATAAACACAAGTCCTCCGTCCCTAACTGAGGTTACTAAAGCTGTCACCAATCTGAAACTAGGCAAAGCAGCGGGACCTGATGGAATGACGCCAGAGGTATTTAAGTACGGTGGAGACAGCTTACTGTCCGGATTAACTGAGGTACCAGGCAGCGTTTGGGAATCAGAAGAAGTCCCATCGGGTTGGTGTAAGTCACTGATTATCCCCATATACAAGAAGGGAGACAAGTCTTCCTGTGATAATCACAGAGGGATTAGCTTGACTAATATAGTATCTAAAGTCTTAGGCTCAATAATCATGCGTAGACTGAGTGGTGCTCGGGAAGCACAAACACGAGAGAGCCAGGCAGGCTTTAGACCAGGAAGAGGGTGTATTGATCATATCTTCATCCTCCGACAGATTCTAGAACATAGGCATTCCTACCGGCGTCCAACAGTCATTATATTTCTTGACCTAAAGGCAGCATTCGACTCTGTCGATCGGGAAGTTCTCTGGAGATGCTTGGCTGTCAAGGGAATTCCGAGAAAATATATTGCACTGATTAAGGCACTCTATTCGTACTCATACAGCCAGGTGAGGGCTTACGGCGAGCTGTCATCTGAACTGATGACGACCAGTGGTGTCCGTCAAGGATGCCCATTATCTCCTTTTCTATTCAACTTCATCATAGATGTGTTAATGGACTTAACCCTAGGTGACTTCAGCGATTCAGGGATTGACTTGCTACCTGGGAATAATCTCGTTGACTTGGAATATGCAGACGATATAGTCCTTCTAGGCGAAGACGCTGACGAAATGCAGAGTCTTCTAAACACCTTGAACAGCAATCTACGAATGTTTGGCATGCGATTCGCTCCCGCCAAATGCAAGATGATGTTACAGGACTGGACTACGCTGGCTCCTAGTTTAGAAATAGGAAGTGAAGTGGTAGAGCACGTTGACCGCTTCACTTATTTGGGAAGTACCATCAGCCCCAACGGGCTGATCTCTGACGAAATCTCAGCACGAATACAAGGGGCTCGTTTCGCATTTGTTAGTTTACGCCGACTCTGGCGTAGACGAGATGTTCGACTATCGACCAAAGGGCGGGTGTACTGCTCATCAGTCCGCTCCGTCCTCCTTTATGGTTGTGAGACCTGGCCACTGAGAGTGGAAGACATGAAAAGACTAGCTGTCTTTGATCATAGGTGCCTGCGTTCTATTTCCCGTGTAAAGTGGCATAATAAGGTGAGCAACATGGAGGTTAGGCGTAGAGTTCTAGGTAAACAGGGGAAATCAATCGACGAAGTCGTGAAGCTACATCGACTGAGATGGTTAGGACATGTGTTACGTATGCCAAGTCATCGCCTCCCTCGACGAGCAATGTTAGCGGATATAGGGTCAGGCTGGAAAAAAGCTAGCGGCGGTCAAACAAAAACTTGGCACCAGTCAATGAAATCCACAACAGTTGGTCTAAGCCACGTAGGAAGGTGTAGACTTCCAGGCTGGGGTCCTCGGGACGGTAAAAATCTATGGTTGGAAACAATTGGTGACATGGCTCAAAATCGTTCTCAGTGGCGCAGATGCATCCACTCCTTGTGACTTATGATCTTCAATGAAACTGTTTTGTATTTCTTTATTACTCCTTTGTCTCACACCTCTGCTCACTGTTTCTATTATGCTTTTCTTGTACTTTCTTCTCTTGCTTCGCGTGCTACACGGAATGTGGCGACTTGAACTTCCGCACATTTGTGCGAAGTTCTATGTCGAAAACAGACAGACAGACAGTTGATTATATACATCATCCTCAACAAGTTGATGCTAGCAAACTGTTGGTACCTGCTATCGTTGCGAAGTGTCAGACCAAGCTAAACTCAAGACACCATTAAAATGGGTCTGGTAAACTGCTAGGAGTAGCCGATAAGTTCGTATATCCAAGTCCTGTGTGTTGGTGGTGTGACACAAAACAGCATACGACAATCTGGGTCACTTCTGGCACCGTCACAACTCTGGCCTGACCATCAAAAGTCACATTAATAGTCCTTCAGTGCGTTCAGTTATGCTGTACACTTCTAAAACTTGAGCTCCAAAGTACGGATGCGCGACAACTCTATTTATTCAATTACCGTTGCTTCCATAGAATTGCTTCCATCCAATGACCACCATGTAATTCTGAAGTCTGGCAGCATCTGCTTGAACACAGTAGGGGTCATCTTTCAATTAGTGCTGTCAACTTGAAACAATGGCTACAATGGTTCGGACATGTACCATAGATATCACTCCAGCAACTCCTATACCATCCACTGTTTGCTGGACGTGGGTGAGAAAGTTGGAGTACTCGATCCATGACTCAGATTTCACGAGAAATAGTAATTATTGGAGGACACGGTGCAACTGGCATCTTTCTCTTGAAAGTAACATATTATAATAAACCAGGTGATACCATCTCCCATCACTTAAGTTGTGGTTTATTGTTTAGAACATCAACACGCTTGTGACTGTTGATTATTATGGATATATACACACGCTTTCCACACATTGTTTCTTAGTTTTTTAAGTGTTATACTACCGACTTTGTGTTCTAGTATTAAAAAAATTACCTCTTCTTTTTTTTCTCCTAGCCTCTTGTGGAGTCTGCTATGCCCGTGATAATCGAGTTGTTGCATGACGAGTCACCGGCTGTTCGTGATACAGCTGCCTGGACTATCGGACGTGTATGTGAAACTCTCCCGGAAATCGCTCTACACGAAGTGTATCTAGTCCCCTTGTTGACTGGATTGGTCGAAGGGTTGTCCGCTGAGCCAAGAGTTGCTACTAACGTGTGTTGGGCATTCTCTAGTCTTGCTGAAAGTGCTTATGATGCTGCTTCAGGTAAATATTTCTTGAAATTTCTACAATGACCCATTTCAACGTTGTACATTATGGTATAGAATCCCACGGGAAGATCGTTTATAGCACACTATTATTATTTCATTGCACTTAGGTTTTAAGGAATATTCTCTTTCAGTCAAGTTACTTGTATGTAACTATCCAGAATTTGTCAAACTAGCACCCGATGTGAACTTTTCTAAGTAATGAAGTAATGCCCAGTGGTTGCGCAAATCCGAAGTGCCTATAGGTAAAGTTTGTCTGGGTTAACTTAGGTATTAGGTTATGTCTAGAAATCAAAGATAGTTCCGTTAGACTGTTGTAAGTCACTGATTATCTAAATGTATCAGAAGGGAGGCAAGTCTTTCTGTGGTACTCTTAGTGGGATAAGCCCCACTAGTACGGTGTCAATGATCTTACTCAGGGTAACTGGTACTCGAGAGAAAAAGTCCGCGATAGAATGAGAGACAGGCTTCAGGCTAGGAAGAGGGTGTATCGATCCTATTTTCACCTGTTTCTGGGACATGAGTATACCTATCTGCGTTTTAACTCTTACCATATTTCTTGACCTGAAGGCAATATTCGATCCCGTCAATTGAGAGTTCCTGTAGCAATGTTTAACCATTCAGGGAGCGTCGAGAAAGTATATCGCACCGAACAAGGCACTCTACTCGAAGTTATGCAGCCGTATGAAGGCTTGAGGAGACTTGTCATATATATATATATATATATATATATATACTAATGGAATTAACCCTACCTGACTCTGGCGATTTAAGGATCGATTTGTCAATATGTAGCAGTTTTGCCGACTTACAGTATGCGGACGATGTCGTCCTCTTATATAGACTGACAAACAACTGAGTCTTCTCAACACCTTCAACAGGAAATCTTCAAATGTTTGGCATACGACTCATTCCTGTCGAATGTATGATGATGCTGCAAGACGAAGTTCAGTCAGTAATAGACGAGGTGTATAGTAATCGGTTTTCCAACAATGACTTATAACCCTAGTTATGTGATGTTATCGAATATCTCATTTATTTCGATGATATCTGCATGATGATGTGTACTGTGATTCGAATCAGTCGTCTCCAATATTCGTATTAAACAGTCTTCCCGATGAGTACATGTAGTGAGTCTGATACAGAGTAGAGGGAAAAAACGTCCACAGCGCAAAGTGTTTTCTTTACTTGACTTCATTCATGTACTTACATGTAATTGGTAAGTGTTGATGTGAAATCTGAGTAAATTTCAGTTTTGTTCATAATTTTCTGAACAGCGCGTTTAGTTTATAACTGTCTTTATCGAAGGCATCATTTCACCCGTAACTTTTCTAGCGTAGACGTGATATCCGACTATCTACCAAAGGGTGTGTGTACTGCTCAGCAGTTCGCTCTGTCCTCCTTTATGGCTGTGAGTGAGACATGATCATTGAAATTGGAAGACATGAAAAGGCCAGCTAGCTGTCTTTAATCATAGGTGCCTGCGTTCTATCTCGCGTGTTTGTTGGTATAATAAAGTGAGCAATATTGAGGTTAGGCGTCGATTGCTAGGTAGGTGGGAGGGGAAATCAATAGACGAGGCTGTGAAATGACATCGATTGAGATGGTGAAGACATGTGTTGCGCATGCCTAGCCTAGCCATCGCCCTCCTCGACGGGCACTGCTAGCTGACATAAGGTCAGGTTGGAAAAGAGCCAGTGATGGGGGTGGTCAAACCAAAACATGACCTCACCAGTCAATGAAATCCTTAACAGTTCAATTAAGCTGACCACGTATGGAGGTGTAAATTGGCTTCCAGGGTAGGGCTCTCGGGATGGTGAAAACCAGTGACTGGAAACAATCGGTGATATGGCTCAAAGTGTTCGTTGTCAATGGCTGGTCTGGCGCAGAAGCATCCACTCCTTGTGACTTATAATACTCAGTAAAACTATTGTTCTTCCATATTACTATTCTTTTTGTCTCATATCTGTGTTTACTGTCTTACTTTCTTCTCTGGCTTTGTGTGCTGAGTGAAGTGTGGCGACTCGAACTGCTGCACATCGGTGCAAATTTCTATGTTGAAACCAGATAGAAAGAGAGAGCAAACTGAATGTATAAATCGCATTTTTGTGTGTTTTATCACCTCGTTTACTTTGCACCAATTCGTATGAACGCTACTGAGTTCTCCACTAGTGGGTATCATTTTGGTGTGAAGCATGTTAAGGAAGGACTAGCCTTTTTTTCTCACTACCTATTCTGCTTTCAATTCATGTCTTTGTTTTTTTTTTAAATTCTTATAATACATTCTACCATTGAAGAAAGCGCCGGACATAATGGTGAACCAAAGACCTATGTACTGTCACAATACTTCAATGTGATAACAGAACGCCTACTAGCCACATCCAGCCGACCCGACGGGGGACAACACAATCTCCGTAATGCAGCCTACTCTGCTCTGATGGCGTTAATGCGTTCTGCAGCTCAAGATTGTTACTGTGAAGTACAACGGGTTACATTGATTGTTCTTGAACGATTAGAATCCATTATTGGTTTAGAGCACCAAATTGTATCACATCAAGATAGAGCACAATTCAATGACTTACAGTCACTTTTATGCGGAACTTTACAATCAGTTTTAAGAAAAATCAGTAAAGAGGATGCCCCAGCAATATCAGATAAAGTGAGCTATCAGTTTTTATTTTGCCATTGTGTATTTATCTATGTAGCAAGGCATATCTACATGTCCTTGATGTCTTTGTTTATGGTCCTTTGAACACTTGTGTCATGATGTTATTCTTTGTTTAAAAGAATTACTATCCAAATTTAATTAACCTTAAGATTTTCCCGTCAATTGATTGGACCGAAGTGCTCGGTCTCAGGTTGACATTTCGGCCTCTTGTGCAGGTCCTTCGACATTTGGCATTTGAAACTACAGGCACTGGGTTCCAGTCTCGGTTGGAACATCATTACTCACTGGGGAATTCAGTTACATCCAGATGACGAGTCCCAAATAGGACGAAATGCGCATTATCCTGGATTCCACTGCTAGTCATCATCCACCAATTGACTATCTAAAGTCGCCTGATATCAACTTGCATTGTTTTGTGTTAACTGCGTATTGATGAGATCCAGGCTTCCTTTTATTTTTACCGTATTCACTTCTGAATACATACCATAAGGTGCATCACATTCGAGTTGCTGTTTGACGTCAACACATATTTTCCCAATCAGTCAGGCGAATAACTGGAAAAACAGAACCCGAGGAAAGTTACATGATATCCAAGTAGGGATTTCCAATAGTTGGTATTGTTTGGATTCAGAATGACATCGGTTTGAGGGGGGGGGTCATAGGAAACCAGGGGTCTCTAAACATTTTATTTTTATCTCTAGTTTGAGACTTACGAGCTGTACTCATAGTGACCCCTTGAGTAGTCAAACCCCTAGATCTTCAGGCTACAAGGCAAGCACGTTGTGCAATACTGAGTGGAGATCCACTGGCTCAAGCCTCTAGTTGAAACATTCAGCGACCGCTGTCATTTGAGTCACCTACTTAACTTGAATTGCATCACTTTGACAGTGAAATAAATGGAGATAAAATAAGAGCATTATCCAGAAAAAAACAGGCATAAATTGTCCAAAATCTCACAGAGAATGAAGAGTTAAACATACCTTATTTGTCTTGAATGATTTTGCAAAGTATCATTATGTCTTCTAGAGTTTATCCAGATTACTGACCGAACATTCCGGGGTGGAATTTCTGTTATATAGTAGTGTTGTTATTCTTAGCTCTCCTCCAGCCTTATTAAAACACTAACTTGGTACATTATAGGCACCAAGAGACGCGTCATACAAAATCTCAGTTTTTATGAGGAGCCTTTGACTGTTAGTGCGATGCACAAGACAGTGGAGCTATAATATCAGGAGCTACATTCCCGTAGTCGCCAATGACAAAGCAGGTTCATACACCATTTGATCCTTGCAGATTCTGGACTCTTCGTGTACCATAGCCTGGTTTTCCAACTGTCCTACGTAGACCTGTATTCGCCCTTTTACTTTTATGAGGGAGTCCCCCCCGTCGCGTAGAGGCTGTGAAGTCATCATCACGTGGCAGCATCTTGAGAGGAAAATTGGAGTCCACCCACCCTTGGCTGTACCAGATCGTTTCTTCAGGCAGTCGAATGCTCGATCACCCAATACCATTCATTGTGAAGAAGAGACACACTGTATTGGGTGATATTAGACGGTTGGAGGCAATTGGCCACCGGAAGCCCTACCTGACCTAGGTTTCATGCTAGTTGTAGGCTGTACGCCTACAGCCCAACCGTTGGTTAAGTAATACTATCTAAGTATGCCTGATCAACAAGATACAATTGGGTATAAACACTTCTATATGATTACCAAACCTTATTATTCATACAATCGTTGTAATTAAAATATACATCATTTTTATTTTTATGTGTACAATGTCAATGTATGCTATTTCAGTTATCTAACATTTTATACTTAGGTGATGCTGGCTCTCATGTCCATGTTTCGAACAAACACTACCTCAGTTGCTGAAGGCTCTGGTGACCAAGCGGTTATTAACGGAGAGACAGACAAAGCCAAATATGGTGATGGTGTTCAAGAAGATGCTCTACTTGCTGTATCCGCTCTTGTTGAAGCTGTTGGAGAGTCTTTCCTTAAATACTTGAATGATTTTATGCCTATCTTAGTCACTTGCCTGCGTAATCATACTGATACACAAGTTTGTATGAATGCCGTTGGTCTGCTGGGAGATATGTGTCGCGCTTTGAATAAACACCTGCTTCCACATTGTGATGGTTTGGTCACAATTCTGATGGAGATTTTACAAGTAAGTCATGACACCTAATCACAAATTCTTCAATATCAATATTGACCAACCAAATGATTTACCAGCATCTGCTGAAAAATGAAAGTGGTTTCCATCATAGTCACATTAGATCTCTGTAACTTCACTCCTCGAACACTGGCTGTAGCTATGGTTCAGTGATCCTTTTCTCGTCTTCAGCACGAGCATATCACTGTCAGTCAGTGTTGTTGGAGAAGATCCATAGAAAGCTATTTCTATAGATAAAGTACGCGCCTAAATTCTGATCAAACTGATTTGCGAATGCTTGTATCTGTGCGATAATAATACGATAATAACACGAGGTCGTGAAGTTACAAAGACTGAGATGGTTAGGACATGTGTTACGTATGCCAAGCCATTGCCTCCCTCGACAATGAGCAATGTTAGCGGATATAGGGTCAGGCTGGAAAAAAGCTAGCGGTGGTCAAACAAAAACTTGGCCTCACCAGTCAATGAAATCCACAACAGTTGGTCTAAGCCACGTAGAAAGGTGTAGACTTCCAGGCTGGGGTCCTCGGGACGGTAAAAATCTATGGTTGGAAACAATTGGTGACATGGCTCAAAACCGTTCTCAGTGGCGCAGATGCATCCGCTCCCTGTGACTTATGATCTTCAATGAAACTGTTTTGTATTTCTGTATTACTCCTTTGTCTCACACCTCTGCTCACTGTTTCTATTATGCTTTTCTTGTACTTTCTTCTCTTGCTTCGCGTGCTACACGGAGTGTGGCGACTTGAACTTCCGCACATTTGTGCGAAGTTCTATGTCGAAAACAGACAGACAGATAATAATACGCCTGGGCAGTTCAAGACATACGGTAATTATGTTTGAATTACGTATAAGATCTTTCTTGATAACGAGCTGGACCCCAGTGGCTTAATGGACACGCCAGTTGATCTTCACAGTTTACCTGTAATCTCAGAATTAGATTTCTCATTGTCACCAACATAGTCGTGTATCATTTCACTGTAAGGCGATCTCTGTCTCACGTTAGGTGGTTTAATAAGGTAAGTAATGTTGACGTTAGGCGTAGAGTGTTGGGCAATGAGGGAAAATCAATCGACGAGGCTATAAAGTTACATAGACTGAGATGGCTAGGTCACGTGGTGCGCATGCCTAACCATCGCCTCCCCCGACGGGCATTGCTAGCTAACTGATATAGGTGCAGGTTGGAAAAGGGTAAGTGGTGGCCAAACAAAAACATGGCCTCATCAATCTATGAAATCCTTGACAGTTAAACTGAGTCAGGTAGGGAGGGAGATGCAGACTTCCGGGTTGGGGCCCTCGGGACTCTAGGAATCAATGGCTGGAGACAATAGGTGACATGGCTCAAAGTGATCGTTGTCAATGGCCAGCGCAGATGTATTTAGTCTCTGTAATCTTTCATATTCCTTTCTACCATTACCCATTCTGTTTCACTCTTATACTTGTCAAACTCTATTGATTCTCTTCACTCATCTTCTTGTCTACCTCTGTGTGCTATTTGGAACGTGGCAACTGGAACTGGTGCACTTCGGTGCCAAGTTCTATGTTGAATCCAGACAGACAGTAAGGCCAAGTTAAACTTTAACCACCACTAACTACCAATGGAGTGCGACCACACCAGTGACTTTGAAACGCTCGCTGAGCAAGTTGGTGAAACCTGGAGCATAATGTTTTCATCATCAATAAAATATGCTAAATGAAGTGTTATGTTATTAAAAGGGATATCTGGCGAGGCTTTGGAAAGATTAAGTTAGGCTTTAGGCCAAGGACAAGTTAGGGTTAGGTTAACCTAATAAAGGCGACGTTAGGGTGTTTAATGTGAGTTAGATTACAGTTAGTTTAGAGATATTTTCACGTTAGGATTAGGTTCAGGAAGGATTAGGATTTTTGTTAGGGTTAGAAGACCTAAATAATTGCTTGCATAGAATGCGGTTAATATAAGAGTAGAACGTGTGCACTGTGGGGTAGATTATAATTCCATTGTGAGTAAAATTGATTTTGATAAAGTCTCACAGTGTTATACAAGTAATATTTACTGATGGCATTTCGAGCACAATTTATCGCTCAGTAAGTATTACTGTATAACACTATGAGACTTTATCAAAATAAATTTTACCCACTATGGAATTATACAGTGTTGACACTCCAACCTAAAATTCATTGCTATTTTTATCACATATGAGAGAAAGGCATCCTCTGTAACACTTTTATCATACAGTTATGCAATTTTTTCATAAATATATGTATTGCATACACAAAATGCCCCCATTACTTGATTGCTGCATACGAGGTCATTCGGCGGTTAGTGGTGCTTAAAGTCTAACTTCGCCCACTGTAAAGTTGCAAGAATTGAGGTGATGTTGTTGAATGATGCAAAAATGCCTTTTCCAAGTTTTAACGAAGTTGAAAAACGTAAACAAAAATGTGTTGATCTATCAGGTTGTAGGACTTTCTTATTCACCATGTCCGTGTTTATTGTTGTGACCAATTGTGTTTGTGCATAGTACACATAGTAAAACTCCTTGGTTAAAAAGTTAGTTTTTCATGCCATGAACATAGTTATATTCCTTTCGTCAGTTAATACTCAGTTTGAAAATGAGGGTGGGTGGGTAGGTGTGTGAACTGTTCAGTTTCATCCAAGGTGGATTGCACGCTTATTAACTTAAGCGACGACTTAGGGACTTACTTGTCACATGGAGACAGTTTTATCGATGATATTGTCGTTGTAGGCGAAGGTGCTGACAAAATACGGGGTCCTCTGACCACTTTGATCAGAGATCTCCGAGTGTTCGCCATGTGATTCGCTCCTACCAAATATAAGATGTCACAAGACCGGATTATACAAACAGTTTAAAGACAGGGAGGGAATTGGTAGAGTGTGTTGACCACTTCACCTATATGGAGAAGTTGTATCAGTCGTAATGGCCTGGTCGCTGACGAGATCCCTGCATGGGTAAAAAAAGCTCTTGTCGAATTTGGTATCTTACGTCGCCTCTGCAGAAGACCTGAAGAGGCTGACTAGTTGATTGAGTCTCGACGTAGAACTTTGTGCAGAAGTGAATCAGTTCGAATCATCATTCCCTTTTCAGCACACGAAGATAGGCAACATATTTAAAAGAACTCTAATGAGCAGAAATGAGCTGGAGAAAGAGAAGTATCTTGACGACGATCTTGTACCGTGTTCTTTAAGTCTCGATGACCCCAACCAAGTAGTCTACACACACTTCCCTGTGTGACTGTCTCAATTCGACCGACAGTCATTGACTTCAAGAAGTGATGCTATGTTCTGATTTGACCACCACTAACTCGAGGTTAACTAACATTTGCTCATCCTAGAGAGCTGTGGCTCAACGTGAGCGACACTTTTCCAACCAATTCAATCGATATGACTTCACAACCCGACCGATCGACCTACCTTCCTTAACTAGCACTCCACGTCTAACCTCTATACTACTCATGTTGTTATACCACTTAGTAGGGGAGATAGCACACCATCTATGGTCAAATACAGGTAGCCTTTTCTTATCCTCCACTTTCAGTGGCCTTGATTAACAGTCATAAAGGACGTAACGAACTGTTGCGCAGTATACACGTCCTCTGACAGATTGCCGGAGATGACGTTACTTGTGTGCTCTAAGAAGGAATGTTTATTGGACTCAACCTATCACACTGTACTATTTGTAGATATATCAGGTTTGTATAAAGCGCGGTTAACTATTCCAGGAAATATAATAACTGCGAAGTATAATCAATTGTTATATTCCAAGATGCTTGTGTCTATTCTTACACACACACTCTCTGCGTCTTCTCTAGGATGTAAGTGCCAACAAATCTCTTCGTCCAGCTGTTTTATCCACATTTGGTGATCTGTCGTTAGCCTTGGGTTCAGAATTCTGGAAATACCTTCCTGTTGTATTAGAAACATTGAGTCAAGCAACTCAAGCTGAAGTAAATCTTGTAAGTTGAATGTTGTTATCGCTCTTTTGATATGCCTCATTTAAATGTGCTATTGTGTGACGCAATAATGATAATCTATGCTTTTAGAAGTCTTTTTTTACTCCGTGCTTCTTCCTTGGTTGTCTTTGATTTAAATGCCATGAAATGCACTATTATTATTATTATTATTATTATTATTATTATTATTATTCATGTTATTATAGTAGAAGAGAGAGGTTAACTGTGGTTTTTGTAAGGAATAAGTTTTTCGCTTGTCATTTTTCATCTTTTTTTTAATAATTTGTACACTGTACTGTTTTTGTTTTCAGGAAGATCCAGATATGGTAGAGTATCTGAATTCCTTACGTACTAGTTGTCTGGAGGCTTATACAGGTGTTATTCAAGGGCTTAAAGGAGATGGACCACGTGAGTGTGTATTTTGTGATGTGAACTCGTTCTAGTCTGTTATCGTTGACATTTATTAATAAAAACGTATAATGCCCAGCTAGCAATCCTGTGACCAGTAGGTTGCAGCAGGTCGGGTGTGAGGACAAATACTCGCCAAAGACATTGGCTAGGGTAGCACTATTTTGAATTGGCAAAAGTTAGAATTCATGGGCCATTGGATCGGGTCCCAGTGAATTAATGGTCTACGAGCTTGCTAGCCTTGTAACCAGAAGGTCCTGGGTTCGAATCCCCTGTGGTGGGTGCGTACTGCGAAGAGACTCAAACTGGGACGAAACAGCTGTCCAGTACTCCCCGGTTTTCCAGTGGTTCTCTAACTAGTGTCAGCTCATGATGAAGTCCTGTAATCCTTTAGCAGCTGCATTCAACCAACACAGTTTTATGACAACGCTACATGTCAAGTGACCCACAATGGGAAAACTCAGTGAAGCCTTTGAAGTGAAGATAGAAGTAAGATAAGTCTCTGCTTCCATGGATGATATTCCTAATTAGGGTTGACTGCATTATGCAACACTGGTGAGGTAACGAGAAGGAAGGAATATGATGCACCGATAAGACTCTTAAAGATCTCCGTAATATCACACAAGCTCAAATATATGCAACCGAAAAACAACAAGGTGGCAGTAGAAAAAAAAACAAACATCAGGTGTCTAAATGAACACAAGGAGGACGAAGGTGATGAAGACAAACCAGCCAACAAAACAAACACTAGTCACCACCGATGGGAGGAATTTAAGCGAATCCAATTTCACTTATTTGGTCAACACTATCACAACTAGAGGCAGCAACAGGAATTTTTCTTATTCCGTTACGGACTGAATGGAACATAGGGGGCGGCTGCAAGCTAGAGGCTTGAAGTTTCTGTAGCAGCGATGGCTATTTTTACACGATGGGGTTGCTAACCAGCCTCATGCCTAACCTTCCCTTTTTACCAGTCTTATTATTGGCTTATCGAGGTCAAGTAGTGAGTCAGTGACATGGGATCGAAAGCCAAACCACCTACGTGGTTGGCGAGCATTCTATCGCTGTGCCATCGATGCACTGGCAACACGAATAGGGATGTCGAAATCAGCCCGGATCAGAAAAGCAACACAGCTTAGGAGGTTATTGCTCTGAAATAAGTGTGAAAATCTGCGGAAATCAGCATGAAGAATAAGAATCGGGATTTCGACCCTAATTTCAATTCAAATCAGAGATTTGCCACAAGTCGTGTCAAGAAAAGCATTTCGTACAGGCGACTTACATCAAAAGTTGTCTTCTTGACTAACTCAAAACTGTACTGTACGGCGGCGTGTGTTTGAACACAGTGGAGATCACCATTCATTGAGTGTCGTCATCTGGAAACACTGACTTCAGCGGCTTAGACATGTGCTGAGAATGTCATCCCAGAGGCTTCCGTACAGGTCTCTATTCGCTGGTCAGCCCTGGGATGGGATGGAAAAGGCGGAGAGGTGGTCAGTCCATGACGTAGCGTCGTGGGATGAAGGATGTTTGTGCTAGATTAGCATCGGTTGGTGTGTCAGTACTCCCTGGTTGGGGTCCGCGAGATAGCTCAAATCAATGGTTCGAAACGTTATCGGATATGGCCAAGAATCGTAGTTATCAACGGCGAACGTGTTGCAATTTCCTTCTTTCTTCCCTTCCCGATGATAGTTGACGAATACTGTTTGAACTTGTTAAGCATGACTGTTTTCCTTCTAGATGAAGTTCTTTATCCGTTCTCTACTTATTTATTTTTTACTTTTGATCTATGTTGTTTTATTATTACTGTGTGGCGCATCTTTCTTGATGGCCATATTAGTACCAAGTTTTTTTCTGCGTGTAAATAATAATAATAATAACTTAGTTCATTTATGAAAAATAACAACACGTAGTTCAGTGAAGACTCTGTTTTCGGCAACAAATTCATTCACACTTAGCTGTACAATCGAAATTATATATGCTTATTTTTTTCTCTCTCTCTCTCTCTCTCTCTGTGTGTGTGTGTGTGTGTGTGTGTGTGGACATTAGGTTCCTCCGATAAGAATAAAAATTAATTAGGGTTATTTTTCACGTCATCAAAATATTTCAAAAAAGCGTGATGAGTAATCAAATTGTAGCCAGAGAGAGTGTGTGTGAAGATTAGTAGTAGTAAGAGGCTAGTAGTGGTGAGTTGTTAATGTTAGTCCAGTGAAGTAGAAAGGAGTTGAATAAGCGCATTAGAGTTATGTAATAATACTGCATCGCTGTGTGATATTTAAAAAAGAATAAATAAATCTAATATGAAATCTGATATTTTTCTTTGTTTTTATATGCATCCTGATCACAACTCACTCACTCATTAAACTATGCATCGCCTTATTACGTTACTGTATTACACTTATTCAACTTCTTTTATGTGTTGATAAACACATTGATAAAAATGTTTTTTGACAATGCATCACCACTACCCTCTTACCAATCTTCACCTGCCCCCCCTCCCCAACATTCTAGTTACAATTTGATGATTACTCAGCACATTTTGAAATATCTTGACAACAATAACCCTAACTAGTTTTTATTCTCATCGGAAAAACCTAATGTACACACACATACAGAAATTAGTAAATATATCATTGTAACTGTGCAGCTAAGGTTGAATGAATTCGTTGCCGAAAAGATACTCTTCGCTGAATTAAGTATTTTGTTTTTATTAATGTCTGGATGGGGATTATTCATGAATTAGTTCATTCAATAAATAATAACCTTCTAGCCACTATAGGAAAGACAATTCCATGCCTGTGATGTATATTGTCCCCAGAATCCGGAAGGGTCGAGTGACGTACGAACCTATCTTAGTCACCGTCACGTAGCTCCTACTGACGTTACCTTTTGGCTCTCAACAGCACTTCTTATTCTTTATAGTCTTCCACTGTAGACCGTAAGTTGGCAACTCGTATTTACACTCTCTTGCACGATCTTCATATCGCTCTTGGACATTAAACTCGCTGTTTCCCATTCAGGTTCCACTCGAGGTGCTGCCTTGAGCACATATTTGTTAGGTAATAAGATTTTCTTTGATTCGTTCCCAGAGTTCCTTGTTGCTAATCCTTTCTGACCGGCCATCTGATCTTCAGTATTGAGTTAACGAAGGCAGCTGTCAGCAGAAGTCTACAAGTAGCCTGTTGGGAATGCTTTTCGTGACACGTGTGGCAAGTCTTTGAATGAACCATGAAGGAGCACTTACTGACTTCACAGTAGTGTTGAAATTCCGTATCTAATTCTTCATGCTGATTACCACAAGTTTACACACTGCTTTCAGAGCAATGACCGTTTGTACTGTGCTGCTTTTCCGGTCCAGGCTGGCTTCGACATCATTCGTGCTCTTTGTAATTGAAACAGTTATACTAATTTCTACCGTTGGTAATGTTTAGTGCTGTCTTCTCTTCTGTTCACTTGGAGTGTCCTGTGTTTGTTGCCTTTGCTGTCAACTTGTTGTTTTTCAACTGTATATCTTTGAGTCTGTGACTTTGTAGATAAATTCTTCACTTCTTCCAGTTGATTTCTATCAGCACTTAGTTTGTCTAGCAGTTTGAGTTGTCTGATCATCTTCCTCCACATCCACATCAACGTCACCTATTTCTGCGTCGTGTTGCTCGCCATCATTTTCTTCATCGGCTTTATCAGCCTCTTCATCATAGACATCCTCATCAACTTTGTCATCATCTGCGTGTCTAATTTCTTTCGCTTTTAGTCTGTCTGTCTGTTTTCGACATAGAACTTTGCACAAATGTGAGGAAGTTCAAGTCGCCACACTCCGTGTAGCACGCGAAGCAAGAGAAGAAAGTACAAGAAAAGCATAATAGAAACAGTGAGCAGAGGTGTGAGACAAAGGAGGAGTAATAACGAAGAACAAAACAGTTTCATTGGAGATCATAAGTCACAAGGAGTGGATGGATCTGCCCCAGCCACTGAGAACGATTTTGAGCCATGTCACCAATTGTTTCCAACCATAGATTTTTAGCGTCCCGAGGACCCCAACCATTCAGGAAGTCTACACCTTCCTACGTGGCTTAGACCAACTGTTGTGGATTTCATTGACTGGTGAGGCCAAGTTTTTGTTTGACCGCCGCTAGCTTTTTTCCAGCCTGACCCTATATCCGCTAACATTGCTCATTGTCGAGGGAGGCGATGGCTTGGCATACGTAACACATGTCCTAACCATCTCAGTCTTTGTAATTTCACAACTTCTTCGATTGATTTCCCCTGTTTACCTAGAACTCGACCGAGGCCTAACCTCAATGTTCCCCACCATATTATGCCACTTCACACAGGAAATCGAACGCAGACACCTATGATCAAAGACAGCTAATCTTTTCATGTCTTCCACTCTTAGTGGCCAGGTCTCACAGCCAGCCATAAAGGAGGATGGAGCGGACTGATGAGCAGTACATCCGCCCTTTGGTTGGTAGTCGAACATTTCGCTTTTAGAGTTTTACTAGATTTGAGTTTCAGTTTGTTATCGTTGGTGTCTCCTCAACAATGGTGATTTAGCAGAAGGGTTCATTTTCCCCTTATGAAATTGATACTCTCAGCTTATTTTGTTGGAAACATCATCGATAAATATAACTGGAAAATCACTACACACTGTCTTTTCAAAGTCACATTCGAAGAGATCGCTTTATAGCAGTCGAATGCTGTTTCAATACTCAATATCGATTGTTTTTCCTGGGAAGATCTTGAATTGCATAGAATTCTGCCTTGAATTTGAATCTTTACGTCTACTGGTAAATTTAAAATCAGAGCCAGTTTAATTTCTTTTTCACTCCTAAGTGAAAGTGTCAGTTTTCTGCCATCAAGGAATTTAGAGTGTTGAAACGGTCTCCTGTCTGGCTTCCAGTGGTAAAGGGAACTTTATGCACAGTTTTCTCTTCCGATAATCATATTGAATATCAATACAGGTTGGGAACAACTTGTGTAAACTACCAAGATTACCCTTGAAGCTTGAGATTATTATATTTTTGGGCTATACTGCATAGTACGAAGTTCAGGCTTCTGCATAGTGCTTTGCATTCCGCCAGCAAAGGTATTCACTTTAACCTCCCGGGTACCACCAGTACTCCAGCTATCTCTCACATCTATGACTACCAGTTTGTTTCACTTGTAGAGACTGTTGTTATTCTGAAATCTTAAGTCGTTTTATAATGTCTTCATTCTGAAGAACCTTTCTATCTGAAATAAAGATAAACCTTTCCGGTGGTAGTTTAAACGCTTCCAAGGCTATTCCCTGTCGTTCTTTAATTGACCATGAACTGAGTCCGGAAACAGTCTTCACCTACTTGGAAGTCTCTTTATTCGCAAAATGAAAGACAGTGATGTCTGAGTAACGGGATTTTACGCTTCTTCATTATCATCATCAGACAGACATAATAAACCCAGCTGTCTTTGAAAACATCGCAATTCTGCTCCATGTATGATCTGAAGCATCCTAGAGCCAGTCTAGGCATGATCAGAAACTAAACTTGATTGAGAACCGTGCTATGAGGATGCGTGAAGACGGGATTAGTCGTGTTCTCGTGAGGGCACATTAGATGTTGCCATTTTCTTACCGTCCCTGTCCACAATAGATTCCATAGCCATTTAATTTGGGTCTTTGTCAAGCATATTATCTTGGTATGTCGAGAACTTGACGTGTGGTCAGAGGAAAGAAAATGCTTTCAGGAAGTTGTTCTTTTCATATACTTCTAAGGTGTGTACAAGACTTACAACAGTACGCCTGTATGACCCCCCTCCACTTTAACCTAAATGTGTAGCTTGTCAACTCCTTCAAGAAGGGTCAAAGTCTTCCAGCTCCACTAGACTGACTTCCATGTCCACTTGTTTTTTTCTAACTCCTTTCACTCTCTCACAAATGAATTTGCCACAAATCGTACTGAATGAATATGGAAAATTATAGAAATAATAATAATAATTATCATTTTATTCTCATCCTCTCTTTTGCAGAATCTGCTGCTGCATTGGAGTTTGTTGCAAGCAATGTGCCGCATATTTTGAACTTTATCCAACATGTCGGTGCTGATTCTATCACCACTGATGAAATTTTATCTGCTTTATGTGGTCTAGTAGGGTAAGTCAAACTATAATTACCCCTTATAACTTTTTTCTACACATTTTGATATATATATATTATGAATAATATTTATTATTATTATTATTTCCCTAGGTTCCGAATGGAACACAAGGCTTCAGCAGCATGTCTCCACTTTGCCGCATTTTCTATGATCCTCTGTACCTGCCTCCACGAATTCCCATAATCTTTAATCTCTCCTCCATATCACCCTCGGCCACCCTATTCAGTCGTTTCTCATACAGGTTCAAATAAAAGAGTTGACCTGAGTGAGGCGCGATGTCATGGGACATTGTGTGCCCAATCCACCTCCATTTTCTTTTGCATATTTGTTGAGTAGTAGGTTCTTGGTTGGTTCGTTTCTAGATTGTCTCTCTCTCTCTCTGCTAAATCTTTCTGACCGGCCATTTAATCTTCGATATGGAATCAGAGAAAAGACCACTGTGTTGATAGATGTATATAGGTTGTGACGACGCGCTAGTCAAGTTCCCTAAACTATATATATAGAAGAACTGACTGGTCTAACATTTGTATTGAAAATCCGGATCTTGTTGTTTAATGCTGAGTTAGTCAGTGCAGACGATTTCCAAACTGATGGATAAATAGCATACTATGCAAACTTCTGTTGTGTAGAGAATTCGAAAGCTGGCTATAACTGTTCACTTTTATTCCGTATATCAAACTTCCCTAACATCATACACACATTTAATTAACGAAGGTGCAGATTCTCACACAACATTTTCCCTTGATTAGTTAGTTTGAACACAAAAAGGAACAAACATATTAGATAGTTGGAGGCAGTCGGCCACAGGAAGCCTTGCCTGACCTAGGTTTCGAGCTAGTTGATACTCACCAATCAGCAAGACGTATCTGCCACCTTGAAGGAACTCATGTCCATCCTCTGAGATTCGAACTCGCGTCACCCAGTAGGGCTGCAGTCAGAGATGTTACCACTGAGCTATTCGGGATCGCGATTGACCTCAATACTGTGCACCCTGATGGCTAGCTACCTAGTTGCATGATGGTCACATTGCAAACCTGACTGATAGAATTCAGTCTGCACCGAAGAAAGTACTAGACACGTCGCACTAGTTACTAGGGTCCAATCAAAGAACGAACATGTCTGCGGGATACTTTACTTTACATTCTAAACAATATCAAAATAGAAGTTACAAAAGATGTGAACCTACTTGTATCACAGTGACCTCAAGTTGTCGTATAGGAAAGGGAGGGGGAGGTCAATGGAGTGTTCGTATATAGCCCAGTGGTGACGAATCTGATGACTGCAGCACTGAGTGACCCCGAGTTCGAATCTCAGAAGAGATATGAGGTCTAGTAAGACTACAGATACACCTTGACGACTACTACTGATTGCCGACAAACACGAAGCCCCTAGATCGGATAGGGGACTTCCTGCCGATTGCTTCCAACCATGTAATGACAACAATTCAGAGTGCACCGTTATGACGAGCCACCCAGCAGAGGGGGCTACATTGCAAACTTGACTGATAGAACTCAATCTGCAGTGAATAAGGGACTAAATGCATGGCATAAGTTATACTCTCTAGTGTCAATTCACAGATAGCCAGGATTCAAATTTTGCATAGAAATGGGAATTGATAAGAGACAGAATGAAGTAGACAGGGTGTCTGTCAGTTGCACTTGAGAAGACTTTGTCGCCCGTCTCCTACAGAGACTTCCCCGGATATGTTGAGAAAATCTAGTAGAGAAGGCTCTCCTCTTAGTCTTTCTTATACTGTAGTATATTTACTGCCACAAATGCACATGTGAATCAGTATTTGCAGTTGGAGTCGACTTACCCACTTGACTGAATTAATGAGCGTTTGGTTTTTTAAAGCTTAATCGGTCTTTATTTAAGTGACCATATTCGATCTCTTGGGTCTTTGTTCGGGTTGGTTGTGGTTATCGAACCAGAGCAAAGCAACTGTTGAATGCTGTTTAATTAATTTCCGATGGTCCCCCAAGTAATGTCCTGTTTGTGAGGAATTTTACCTTGTGAAATTATTATTAAAACACTAACTTGGTACATTATAGACACCAAGAAGTGTGATGTGCCACACAGAATATGATTGTTTTGTGTGATGCCAGCTGAGATACTGTCCGGACACCTACATTGAAGCAAGTGGTTGTCTAAGAAGACCACCTCCCTAGAGTCCTCTAATTTGAGGTTTGATCCACAAGTCAGTGGGGGGGGGGTGGGCAACATCAGGGTCTATGTACACACCATGGGATTTTGCAGCTCCTCCAGATAGACCTGCGTGTCCGTCAGTCTGGTGGCTGTAGGCGTTTTCAGTTTTGTGAGGACTACCAACCCCCTTTATACGTGAATGAAGACACACTGTGAAATAATGACAGTTGAAAACATTTCTTCTTCCTTTAAAGCTGGATTCTTTCTGTAATCCCCCTAAATACTCAGTAGTATTACTGTATAATCACATTGAATGTTATATATTCACTTCCTGTTTATTTTCAGAGATCTTGTTTCAGCTTATGGTGCAAGCATTTTATCTGTTGTCGAAGTCGATGGTATTGCTGCAGTTTTACAAAAAGGTCGTAGAGCTAAATCATCTCGTACTAAAAATTTGGCTGTTTGGGCTACAAAAGAAATTCGTAAATTGAAAAATGCTAGTGGTGGCAGCTCTGCTGCACCAACCACAGGTGGTGGTGCTTCCAATTCTACCCTATCTCATACAGCCACTACTATCCAGGCTTCGCCTTCTGGATAAAAATAAAGGTATGCTATATGTTTTTATTTCTCTGTTCGTTTAGGGAGGGTTAGGGATGTGTGTGTGTGTGTGTCACCATTTATTTGGTGATTGTTGTATAACAGGTGAATTGTGATCGTATTGCTGGTTGGTCAACAACTGATCGATAAAACTAAACTAGTCCGCCGTACCTGAGTATTACTCACCGATATGGTTGATTGCCCTATTTTACTCACTTGTTGTCTGTAAGTGATTACTTCTCACGGCAAAAAGTCTCTAGACAAAAGCGAGTCTTCTTTCAATGAGTTGGTTCATTCGCTAGATTATTTTTCACTAGGTATGTCTGTACGTGTATGGGTTTGTTAAACAAGAATCAAAATTAGTTTGAGAAATTGTTTGTGTCATCAAAAAAATGTGATGTGTAATCACAACTATGTAACTACTTACCTCGGTCGGGGGGGGGGTGGGTGGGACGTGGATGAAGCTTATAATAAGTTTAGACTAGGGAGGTTGCATAATGTATGAAAGATGTTCAATATAGGACAGATAGCGTGTTAGGGAAATGGTATGGATTAATTAGGGGTTCTGTCATTGGTGAAAATATATCCATCACTGGCCGCCCAATACATGCTAGGCGAATGAATTTATTCAAAGCTGTCTACAAAGTCAGAAAATAACTCGCGAAAACGGCATACTTCTGTATACTTTGCATTACTAAAGCCTAACCGGCTTAAATGGGAGATCCTGAATTACGTACAGAGTAGTTTCTCCATCCCTTTCTTTTTACCTTGAGTATAATTTCAAGTTCAACTATTTCGTGCATTTTTCCTAAGACATTAAATATCTTCAAGTATTGATTTTGTGGCGACTTTGTTTGATTGGTTGGAGGATTCCATCATGAGCTGATATCAGTTAGAGAACCATTGGAAAACCACCTGAGAGTACTGGACAGCTGTTCCGTCCTAGTCTGGGACTCTTCAGAGATGCGCAACCACCTCCAAGGCTCGAACCCAGGACATTCTGGTTACATGGCTAGCTAGCTCGTAGACCATAAAATCACTGCGACCGGTTCCAATGTTTAGCCTATGGATTCTAACTTCTACCAATTCACAACATAGCGTAACCACTTAACAATGTCTTTTTCTATGAGTAACTGTCCTTACCTCGCCTTGTAACCACAGGGTCCTGGGCTTGAATCCCGTAATGATGAAGAGTTTCAAATCAGGACAAAACAACTGTCCAGTACCCGCAAGTTTTCCAGTGGTTATATCTAACCGATGTTAGCTCATGATGCAATCCTGTGACCAATCAATCAAGTCTCTACAAACCAATACTTGAAATTCATACCAATAGATACTAGGCTGTCTTGAGACTAACTTTCCATGTGTTTGCTGGACCTTTTTATCAATTGTATTGCATAAATGGGGAAATAACACTAATTATTATTATTATTATTATTCCCTTTGAATTCAAATGGTAGCACATCTCCATTGCACCTCATTCTGTATTTTTCTATTTGACTCCCCCGCCCAATATATGTGTTTAGTGGTAGATTGTTGGTCGTTTCGGAGCCTTCTAGAATTCCTGGTTGCCTTATCCTTGCTAGATGGTCATCTGATAGTTAGTATCGAGGTAGCGATGGTAACTCTTCGTAGAAGTCTGCATCCTGTTAGAAAAACTCCTTTCTATAGACGCTAATATCTTGAGTTGAATTAAAATTGACTAATCCAATTTTAGATTTTCCCGTCGATTGATTGAACCAAAGTGCTCAGTCTCAGGTTGACATGTCGGCTTATTGTGCAGATGCTTCGGTGATGTCTGGGGTGAGTGATGTTCCCACTGAGACTCAAACATCCATCACTCACTGTGGAATGCAGGTACATCTAGTCGATGAGTCCAAAACAGGCCGAAATGCGCATCCTGAATTCCACTGCTAGTCACCAATTAACTATGAATTAAATTTGATTTTATCATTCTATAGATAGAGTGCAGTTGTGTAAAATGTGTATGTGTGAATAATTTTAGAAGGTGTACGGTGAACAGAGTAATTCGGTGTAAATTGAAACTTTTCAGTGTGCCACATGCGACATACATATGTGAGCAATTTTAAGTAATCTTGCCATCAGTCTTCAAGTATTTGTAGTATACGAAGGACTTCAAGCATCGTTTTTAGTTCAAACCAAGAGTACAGTAACCTCATGCGTAAGTAAGTATCACCGTATAAGATTTCGTTTCTGTCGCCACTAATTCCTCCCCATCATAGTTGGATTACGATTGACACTACGTCGAAGAGGGTAGCGACTGGAGCTTTATGACTTCATTCATTGAGGTGTTAAGTGACTTGATTTGTACATTAATGCTTTCCCGTTACCCTTTTCACAACCCGACATTATGAATGTTAGTCTCAGTCGACTAGTGAATTTATGCCCTCAGGTCAATGAGTTTTATCATGGGCTGGATGTCAGTTTGTACGCATGCGTTTTAGAACCTGATAATTAATGACAATATAATTAATGTGAACCCTCTTCGAGCTTGCAGTCTACGAGGTGACCTCGGGTTTATTTTCCTCGGAAATATGAAGCGTGTAGGATTTTCGATACTGTGTATGTGTTTGGCTAACTGCCTTTATTTCCATACAAATGACGTACACCGGTTCCATAAAACTACCTTAATTAACGTCCCACATCTCAGTCTCTAGCAGTCGATCAGTACTGGAGTCCTGCTTGCTTGCCATATTTTAGATTGAAAAAACACGTTTTGCTTTAACTATAGGAAATTAGGCAGCTAGACTTACCTTTCACGTCTAATCACATTGTGTTTTGACCAGTCTTTCCTCTTGTTTTTGCAGTACATATTCTATTGATGAAATAGCATAGCTTTTTTCAGGAAATAGTATTCAGGCAAGTACACTGCCAACCTGTGCACCGTTGAATTATCCCTTCTATTTCTAATTCTTTGTGTGTGTGTCTGTTTTTTTACCTGCAGGGGTGGTTATTCTTCAGTCCGAAAATTCTCACTTATATGATGATGATGCATAATGCAACATACACAGTGACAATTCTATTACAATTTGTAAATTTTGCGAATATATATACATATTATTATTATTGTTATTATTATTATAAAGACACGACTATCTGATTATGATTGTTTATTTCTTCGTCCCTTTCGTCTTCTTTTTCTTCTTCTTTCCCGAAGCCGCCACCTCTTCCTTCTCCTCCTCCACCTTACTGATGTTACGCTTCTTTCTCTGTGTGTGTGTGTGTATGTGTGCGGTCAACACATGCACCATACAAAGAGTTCCTTCCCTCTTATTCCTAACTTTGTAATTAAAAAAACGAAGAAAATAATACACACCGCTTAGAGTTTAATAACACGTCTTCTCTGTGCCGATTTGATTGGGTTTTTTTTGTCGAGTTGGACGTAATCATTGGCATCACGAAGGAATATGTGTGTTAGGTGATTTATCGTCAGTATACGCAGTATAATTGTGGATTATTAGTTTCCGAATATTATGCGTAAGAATTCTAGTCATATTTTGTGTTTCTCACGAAATTGAAACAGCGAATTCGAACGTCTCTGGTGTTTAGTGAGGTGGACTTAAGAGTCTCTACCTAGGTGAGCTGAAAACCTCGATTGCAAACATTTGGTATACATCCTATCCAGAATCGGAAAGGATTTAATGGCGTACGAACGTGTTTTGGTCGTCTGTAACCATGGGAACGCGTGGTTCTACTGCTGTATGGGGGGCGAATTTAAAGTATTTCATAGCGACAGACAAGGTCTTTCAAGATTGACCCTGAAGGACCGATCACATTCGTTGGACGCTTCCGAAGGTTATTCCAAGCAGAAATTATGCCTGTGTTTTGTAGGTTTGGTTGGAGAATTCTGCGGAGATCGACTATTTAACTACTGTGTTAATCTGAACGAAGAATATTCTTTTCAATAATTTCTCCCCCTCAGGTTCTCAAGATTATAAAATATAATATTTGTTGTCATTACAATAATGATAACCAGTTATGGATACATTTTTAATGTAGAATAGCGGATTAGTGAATATGGGGTGTCAAAATAAATAGTCACATTTGTGTGACAAACATCGTGCTAGGCTGATGAAATCGATTACAAAATATTTCGGTGAAACCGGAGACAATGGTGGTGATTAGTCTTCATAACAGATTCATAGAATGTGGGGTAGAAATACTAACAAGTCAGTTCATGGTTATATAAGGTGGCAGGTGAGTGGCTAGTACAAAGTGATCTGTGTTAAACAGAGATTTTCATGGTGAAATGAAACAGGTGGAGGCCTATATTAAGAAAAGAGATAATATCACTAGTAGTAAGTCCGGATAGTCTAAATGGAAAATTCGATAGTATCAAGAGAATGTTTGCATGAAGGGCATGGAATTATGACGAATAATAATAATGATTGTAATAATAAGCAAGTAAAGAAAAAAAACCAAGAGGGTTAAAAGGAAGAAGCACTGTTGGTGGGAAGAAGAATCATCAATCCAAGTTTGGCCACGGTAGGAACAGCCTCTGGACGTGTTATTTTCGGATACAAAGTTACAGTTTAGTCGATCTTATTGCAACAGCTTCAGCTATTTGTGTAGGAGACGTAAGCGAACTGTACGTGATAACGACTTCGGAGTTCGGTATATAACCCTGAAAGCTGTTGGCTTCGATGAGATTTTCAGGATCGAGCTCTTTATGCACTTAGTCTCCTCCTTGCTGAACCAAGCTGGTAAATGTTCTCGAAACCGTAGACGAAACTGCCTGATCATGCGCCTATGATAATTTGAACCACAGAAACAGTTGAAATGGTATATGCATGAAGAAGAGCTAAGGTAAGGTAAGACATGTTTGAGTTACTGTGTGAACATTGAACGTTGACTGTAGGATAAACGCAGACGTGCGTAGCAGAAAGTTTTCTTGATTGCCTTGGTTAAACGTCGCGATAGAATCTCCGCAGATGTATCTCCCTTGAATTGGAGACGTTAAAACAGGCTTTCTCTCTACCACTACCAGGCCATGTTTACGACTATTGTAACCTAGTCGTAAACATGAACTGTGTTAATAATGGATTAATTGGAGTGACTAAGACTTGTGTTTGTCGAGGGGCTTTGACAATAAAGCAGTATATAACCTTGTTGGAGGTAGATACTGTTATAATAGAGTTCATGTCATAAGGGGAAATCTGTTCGGTACCTTTTTCTCGGAGTTTAATCTGTCTTTGACGGATATCCTACGCCTTATGTACTGTTAAATTTCACAAAGATCTGTAAGGATCATTGTGAGCTGATACAGAAAATAGCCTAATGTCTACAGTGCAATGGTAGCAACACTGTGGAGACATAGCGTCCTCGAAGTTGCATGGGATTACTCGCTGTCTTGGAAGAAAAGTCCTTCACATTGATAAAAAACGATTTTTTAGCATCCGAATTCTGACTGGCTGTTCAAGGTCACGACAGTTTATCTTTGTCATGTATACATCAGACTTCAAGGCAAAGGCTTGGAGACGGATTCTTAAGACAACCGCCTGTTTTCCGTCTGGGCAGTATCACAGCTGTCGCATAAGCTGGGGTTTCGTTTTATGAGTAATGGTATCAAATTAGTGATCTTTAAAAGGAAAGCGTCATTCAATCAGGTAGCATTCTTAGAATCCACTTAGACATTGAACAGTGGAATTGTAAATTGGCATTACAACACATTTTTCTAAACATCGAAGTGCTATAGGGTCCAGTTTATTTTGAAATTACCAGATAACTGTCGTTGTTAAGTTATGCAAATTCCTAACGTACTGTTTCAAAAATTAGTTATTGACCTGCAACTACGTCAGCCTGAAATCACAAAACGAAGATATACAGGAAATACTAGTGGATCTTCACAATCTGGTTGATAATGATTTTGACCCATGTTGTCAGGAGTGGGTGACACTGATTCTTAGCATCGGAAGCCAAGCACTCTACACTCCGATCCGTGTTTAAATCTTGAAATGCGTCTCTATTTGTTCAGACTATGCCTAACACCTCGCAGCTCAATCGTATTTCCGCCGAAATTAGCTTGCTTCCCACACCTTGGTTATTCCACTCAATGCATTCTCACGGCCTCATTGGGCAGTTTAACTAGGCTTATACCATACGCAGGCTCATTATGATGAGAAAAAGGTCCTTCTGGAGCTACATTCTAGTCTACTTGGTCGAATCAGGACACCAAGCAAACACAAAAAAAACCCACTTCAAAGTTAACTTCAGAATACGTGGGAATCTTGCTAGAAGAGAACGACAAATCAAACTTCAGAAGTAGTGGCAAATTACATGTGTTAAAACCTGAACTCTGCATACAAAATAAGTTTGTTCTGTCATTGAATCTACAATGGACCTCATCTATCTTAACACCGAATAGGTAATCTTTATTGTATTATTTTCTTCCCTCACCCCGTCTATTAAACCTTTACCGCTTTATCACCACTGTTGGTGACTTAACTCTCGTTCAGTCTTATAGTTTTAGTTGAGTCCTACTGAACCTCGTCAATTAGATTACGTCACTCAACTCGCTTATCTAATCTTATTTTAGTTTCTAACCCATTCAAGACGGAATTCGTCCTCTAAAATTTACAATTCTAATGACGTATCTTTAGAAATATTCCTTTCTGATGTTAAGACAATTTAATATATATGCATATACAATTGTACAGCTTGAGAATAACATCGGTGAAAAAAGTAATTCTTTGCTGAACGCCTTTCCTTTTATATTTAAGTAATTCACGACAGCGAAAATCCTCCGTAGGTTTTCTTCTTGTATCGTTCAGTCCGAATGAATTTGCAGAAATTCAGTGTTGTTCACTAACTTTAAGTTGCTGATTATCAACATACTCTCTTACAGGGAGACTTAGTGTTACTTAAGGTTCCCAACATGTAAGATGCTGCTACAGGACTGGACTACGTCAACTCCTGCCTAGCTTAGTGATAGGGGGGAGTGAAGTGATAGAACATGTTGACCATTTCACCTATTTGGGAAGTTGTATTAGCACCAACGAACTGACTGGCGATGAAATCTCAGCACGGATCCAAAAAGCTCGAGCTGCTTTCGCTGACTTACACCATCTCTGGCGTAGGCTTGACATTCGGCTATCAACCAACCAAGGGACGTGTGCACTGCTCAGCAGTTCGCTCCGTCCTTCTCTATGGCTCTGAAACATGGCCAATACGAGTTGAAGACATGAAAAGGTTGACTGCTTTCGATCATAGATGTCTGCGATCCCTGTCTCACGTTAGGTGGTTTAATAAGGTAAGTAATGTTGACGTTAGGCGTAGAGTGTTGGGCAAGGAGGGAAAATCAATCGACGAGGCTATAAAGTTACATAGATTGAGATGGCTAGGTCACGTGCTGCGCAGGCCTAACCATCGCCTCCCCCGACGGGCGTTACTAGCTAGCTGATATAGGTGCAGGTTGGAAAAGAGCCAGTGGTGGCCAAACAAAAACATGGCCTCATCAATCCATGAAATCCTTGACAGTCAAACTGAGTCAGGTAGGGAGATGCAGACTCCCGGGTTGGGGGCCTCGGGACTGACTCTAGGAATCAATGGCTGGAGGCAATAGGTGACATGGCTCAAAGTGATCGTTGTCAATGGCCAGCGAAGATGTATTCAGTCTCTGTAATCTTTCATATTCCTTTCTACCATTACCCATTCTGTTTCACCCTTATACTTGTCAAATTTTATTGATTCTCTTCACTCTTCTTCTTGTCTACTTTTGTGTGCTATTTGGAACGTGGCAACTGGAACTGGTGCACTTCGGTGCCAAGTTCTATGTTGAATCCAGGCAGACTTAAGGTTCCCGTGGGTTCAGTATTGTTATCAAATTCAGATGTGCGTTTAGTTAACTCACTAAATAAAGCTGATACTGTCTTTTTGCATATATGCTTAGTCGCTAGCCTACGATATATAAAGACAGCTCATACATGCTTCTTGAAGGAAGGCAGTCCTTGCATCAGTAACGCAGAGATAGGCGTTCTCTACGTTGATCATCAGTTTCA